CCCCAAAACCCCAAAACCCCAAAACCCCAAAACCCCAGTATAAAATTGTAATATTGAAATTTCGAAGATTAAAATTACATAAATGAATTTAATGAATCTAAAAATTAAGGATTAGCTTAAGGTGCATTTATTTAGACTTGAATACAGGCCAAGAGGGGATTATTGATCTTGGTTCCACTAGTCTTACTCTGATTCATGATGCTTGTTCCCTCTCAGTTGGAGAAACCTATAAGTTAGTTATTGGATTTACTGAAGTATCATATCTCTCAGTTTTCTTAGCATTAAAATCTGCTGTTTTAGATCTGACTAGTGGTATCTTTTGTGACGATTCTGTAGAATAATAAGAGTCTAAATACCATTTTTGGTGCAGGTTCCTGAAGAATCTCTTTGGGGGGACTCTTGTAACCCTCCAAAGTATTGCTCAAATACCTTATCCCTGGATTCCTCTTGGTTTATCTCTGACTCTTTGATTCCATAATTGTATTCTCCATTGAAGCTTGGAACATTAGACATGATCTCGATTTCCTATTATATGAGAGGCTTGATATACTTCATTTTCGTTGATGACTGATCCTTCTTTGGAATTGTAGAAGGTCCATATACTTTTACTGGAACGAGGAACGTTGGAATTATTCCCTGGGACTGACTGAGAATTTGTCCTCGGCACAATCAATGAGTTCTTTGACTCGATAGAATTCATCTTAATAAGCATTTTATTTTCCTGTTGGTTCTTTAATGCAGCTGCATCATTTAGAGGAGCTGATAATCTATAAATATTTAAGTTCTTAAGTTACCCTAATGGATTCTTATCTGCTTTGAGAGATATATGAACGGTTGGAGCATTTCCCTTTGGTAACTCTTGTACATTCATGTTTTCTTCAAGAGCACTAGAGACACTGGAAAATTTATCAAATTTTTGAATGGTGCTACTTAGCATTTCTTTCGAGTTACTTGCTTGATCCTGGTGGAATTATGGTAAGTAGACTTACATTCACTAATGACTCTTGTTGTTGAAGAGAATCTTCGACACTATTATTAAAGTTATTTTTCCCATCAGCTGTGTTGTTCAAGTGGACCTCAGTACTACAGTATAAGAAAATAAGTACCTATTCTTGATTGTCATTGACTTCTGGGAGATATCAACACTCGCATCTTGTTCTTCTGTGTTGCCATTATCTATGTATTACCACTGAGGACTACTAATTTCTAAAATAGCTCCAGGAGAAGCCTTCACCTCTTCTTTTGAAATATCTTGAGGGACATCTTTACCGCCGTTGTTGAGGGTAATCTTGGGTTTGAGAATTTCTTCATTTGAAGATTTAGGGTCTAAGATATTAACATGCATGTACATTCTTCTTCTGGTGTACCATTCTTTGGACTCTTTTCTGGTGAGCTTACTGACTTCTTTTCATTATCCTTAGTATTTTCCTTGTTAACAAGTTGAAGACGTGAGTTAGGGTCTCTGGAAGTATTGAAAAAGCTGTCACTTTGATAATTAGACATAATTTCTTTGGCATTTAGCTGTAGTTAATACAAATAGCACATACATTTGTATTGTAAAGAGAAGAATCTTTACTCTCAAGATTGTGTTTATCTGAATTTTTATCTTGCTTTTCTTCTTCCTTTGCTTTTCAAAATGTTAATTCTTGCATCTTGGGATTCTAGAGATAAGTAGTTACTCTTTAGGATATTATAAGTATCAAAAAAAGTTAAAAGATGTATCAAACTAGCTAGCATTGCTTCCTCAATTCCAGGTTTATTCTAATTTGAGAAAAGTGGATTACTTTTTCTTCTTTATTTCAGTAAGAGCTTATATTGCTTTTCACTTTCTCTCTAGTTTGAGTTCCAGAGCGATGTAATGATCCATGACCCTCAGAAGGTTCCACTGATTTGAAATCTCTTTTCTCCGTACTTTGGCTTTCATCAACATTGGGTGGAGTCTCTGGAATGATTTTAGAGTTCTCTGCTAGAGAGTCTTTAGCCTCTTCTGTGTCTTTGAACCTTGCTGTGCACAATTTCTTACATTTCTCTTTGAACTAAGTAGAATTATATATCGAAAATACCTTTGAGCAGTCAATGAAAGAGTCTGGAGTGCCTCTATGGGAGTTATTCACTCAGAAGACCTTCTCCATCTGATTTTTATAAAGCTCTAGATTCATACTAGTTCTTTTGTTATGAGGTAGAATTTTCTGGATAGCCTCTTTTGTCTGAGGAATCTCTTTCATACTATTGAACTCCTCTGTATTTTCATTTGGGAGCCTAACTTCTTTCTCTTTAGGAGGTATTTTCTTTGAACTGAGCTTAGTTATCTTAGTAGGAGAAGGAGACTTAGAAACATTCTTCAGGTTGGCTATATACTCTGATTTAATCACATCCTCTGTATTTAGGTGTTTGTTCAGAGGGGAATATCTTTCAGCAGGAATAGTCTTCTTCTTGGTACCAGGAATTGGAGATTTACCTTTTGATGAAATTTCGAGACTTGGTTGCTTCTTATTTTGGAAACTCATCTTTACTTTCATTTGTCTTTTTCCTTCCTTTGCAAGTACTCTAGTGTCAAGAATCTTTGTCAGGATTAAAGAAGGTTCAAGCTTTTTATCAGGCTAGAATAGTTAGAAAAGTGCATACCTGAATTGGCTTTTTGTGGTTCTTTTGCTGGGATTTTAAACTCCCTTTATTTTCTTCATGACTTTCAGATTTAGCAGAACTTTTATCTTGGAAAGCAGACGAGTGGCCATTTCTTGATTTACTTCTTGCTTTCTCTACAGGATTATATAAATTATCCACTTTTTATAGTTTGACTCAAATTCTTGAGGTTTATAGATAAGGTTTGAGTTTTCACTGGGTCAAATTGAATTGAGGATCTTCTCTTGTTCTTCCTTTTATTTGTCTCTATGTATATATCCTTTTGCTTACTTTTGATATGCATTAGGGTTTCTGGCTTATTTCAGCTTCACGCCTTGTCTCTGTAAGGACTGAATCTAAAAGTCACACATGCTAAAGTTAAGACATACCTTGAGAGATTCGAGGAATTCATCTGATCAATTGTATGCTACAGCCATTTCTTTGTTTCTTGTCTCTCTTCTCTGTATTATAGATATGTTGTTTTCAATGATTTTAGAGATAGGCTTCGGCTCAATGGAACTATGAATCGGGTCCAGCCTTCTCTTGTTCCTAGGTCTTCTCCTTCGCTCTTTGAGGGGTATATATTGTCTTTCATCATCAACCCCTGAGAAAAATTTTTGACTAGTTTTCATAGGTGCCTTTTCCGGCTTCTGTGTGATCATACTGTCTCTGCCATTACTTCCTTTGAGGTTGATATCTTTAGCTTTTTTATTGTCAAAAATGCTGGTTTCTTCATAGATTTAGACCGAAAAACTCACTTTTACTATGAAATTTATTTTGCTTAAATTCCTTTAGAGGAGTGTTCTCTAGCCCCTCTCTTACATCTATTGAGCGGTTGGGGTTCCTATTGCTACCCTTACTCTAAAGATGAATAGAGTGAAATACTAGCTGGTTTCGCCTCTTAAGAATCTGGTTTGGCACCTTAAGAGTGCCTAAGTTCACACTTCTATTCACATGTGATCTAGCAGGATGGTTCTTGTTGATATCAGGCAGGATCTTCATTTTTTTATTTTCTAATAAGAATTTACACACTGAAATTACTTCTTAGTGAAAGCGATGTTATTGTTATGCAAACTTTCCTTATTTGTGCTAAACAAGTATTAGTTTGTAAACTTACCTTTTAGGATATGAAGTATCAGATAATTTGTTCATTTCTGACTTGATGGTAATAAGTCTCTGTTCAAGAGATTTGATTTCCTTAATTATCTTGAAATGCTATAATTAATTTTTGTCAGCAAGGAATCCCAAGAGACTGAGGTTCTCCTTGGATTGTGTCAATTCTACAACAAAATCAGCAGTTGTAACTTATCTCTACCAATAATTTTGAAGAAGAAGTTAAATTGATGAATTCTACATATTTTAAAGCTCTGAAACCTACAAATTTTTAATAAAAACTAAAATTCTTTAGAGGCTGTTTTCAAATAATACATACACATTCTATCATTTTCTAAAACATTTTGTACTTGTTCCAGGCCGCCTTAGAAAATAGTATAAGCAAAATTTATAACTCTAGGAAGATTTTAGTGCTATTTAAAACCAACCTAGATTCTGTCTCTAAGTAATTTACTAACATAAGTAAACTTAAAGAAGGTAGGTCAAAATTAGGATGTCGCAAATAGGTAATTGTGCCAATAATGACACCTGAAAATTCTTAACAACTGAGCTTTCCCATCTTTCCTCTCTCTGAGGTCTCATTTCCACTAGAGATAGACCCCTTTGTCCCAAGTTTATAAATTTTCCTAGTTCATAAAGCTCTTTCCGATCTTTAAAAGTACCGGCATAATTAGCCCAAGAACAGAGAGGACACTCATAAACTTGGACTGTCTTTAATCCTACCTAAACTTACCTTTGGACGTGACATTTGGAAGTGAAGTATTAGGGTGAAATTTAGGATTAGAAAATGAAGATGCCTTCCGTTAATAATTTATAATTGTATAGATTTTTATAATAAGGGGTTTTGGGGTTTTGGGGTTTTGGGGG